AATAGAACTACTCTATAATCCAGTAATCATACTACTGGGTATTTACCACAAAAAATACTAATTCAAAGGGATACATGCACCCCCCCTATGTTTATTGCAACATTATTTACAACAGCCAAATTATTGAAGCCGTCCAAGTGTCCACTGAAAGATGAATGGATAAAGATGGGATGTGTGTGTGTATACAATTCTATATATATGTCTGTATAGAATTGTATACACACACACACACACTGATATTATTCAGCCCTAAAAAAGAATGAAAACTTGCCATTTGCAACAATGTGGATGGACCTTGAGCATACAATGCTAAGTGAAATAAGCCAGTCAGAGAAAGACTTGGGTGGAATTTAAGAAATGAAACAAATGAACAAAGGAAAAAAAAAAAAAAGAGAGAGACAAACCAAAACAGACTCTTAACTATACAGAACAAGAAAATGCTTACTAGAGGGCAGGTGGGTGGGGGGATGGATAAAATAGGTGAAGGGGATTAAGAAAACACTTATCTTGATGAGCACTGAGTAAAAAAGGGAACTGCTGAATCACTGTATTATGCACCTGAAACTAATATAAGACTATATGTTAATTACACTGGAATCAAAATTAAAAGAGAAAATACTTTTTAAATTACTCAAAAATAATTAAAAAAATAAAAACTGAAATAAAAAATGAAATTACTTTTGGACATCTTAGATCAAAGTATGATATAAATGTCTTGATCCAAAATAATTTGCTTAAGTAAGACAGTTTTCCTTTGTCTACATATACTATTAAGAAACACCACCTTAGGGATCCCTGGGTGGCGTAGCGGTTTGGCGCCTGCCTTTGGCCCGGGGCGCGATCCTGGAGACCCGGGATCGAATCCCACGTCGGGCTCCCGGTGCATGGAGCCTGCTTCTCCCTCTGCCTGTGTCTCTGCCTCTCTCTCTCACTGTGTGCCTATCATAAATAAATAAAAATTAAAAAAAAAAAAAAAACACCACCTTAGGGAGATCCCTGGAGATAAATAAAATCTTAAAAAAAAAAAAAAGAAACACCATCTTAATTAATAACTTCATATATCTAAGTTCACTAGGGCTTTAGGATATTAAAGTTATTAACAGAATAATTCACTGTAAAAATGAGTTACTGTGATTTATCTTTTTGTGATGGAAATAAAATAATTTTAACTTCAAGGTAAAAAGTATTTAAAAAATAAGACAGAGAAGTACCCTTTTCTTTAGAATACAAGTTCAAAACATTCTTTTTTTTAAAAAAAATTATTTATTTATTCATGAGAGACACACAGAGAGAGGCAGGGACACAGACAGAGGGAGAAGCTGGCTCTATGCAGGGATCCTGATGTGGGACTTGATCCCAGGACTCCAGGATCACACCCTGGGCCAAAGGCAGGCTCTAAACCGCTGAGCCATCCTGGGATCCCTAGAATATAAGTTCAAATCTAAAAGGTAAGTATAGGGAATTACAATTTTTCTTCCTGGAGGACTCTAATGTTTACAAATAATAAAAAATAGGGAGTATTATAATAAAAGAGAAAATGATAAGGAAAACAAATTTAGGACAATAAATTGCATTCACAAGCTAAACGTGGCTCATCTAAATCAGTCTAAGTTACAAGAAAAACACGATTGAATGGAAATAAAACTACCCTTTTCATATGGCCATTTCCTACAGAGCAACATTTGAAACAACATTTTAACAAATTCTAGCTTTGTCACTAGACTGTAACTTTGGATTTCTTAATGAATGCTTCTTTCTTTTTTAAGATTTCATTTATTTATTCATGAGACACAAAGAGAGGCAGAGATACAGCAGAGGGAAAAGCAGGCTCCTCACAGGGAGCCCAATGTGGGACTCGATCCCAGGATCCCAGGATCATGCCCTGAGCTGAAGGCAGATGCCTAACCACTGAGATACCCAGGCATCCCTTAATGAATGGTTCTTGACTTCATTTTCTTCATATAAGAAATGAGAACACTGGGATTTCAGTGAGATACAGTGAGAACCAGGGAGAACTGGGAACTGTGGATTTTGAAATACACATTTCAAAAAAGATAAAAGTGAGGCTGCTTTGATCATCTGAAATAGGCATGATGCTTCTAGAATGTAGAACTGGGCCCCTGTTATTGTCCTTCTTTCTTCTTACTCAGATCACCTAGGGTGGTACCTAGATGTATTCCTAGGTTCTAGGAAGTTCTAGTGCTCTATGAAATCCAGCTAGAAAGCCAAAGGACTAAAAACTCATAAGTCTCTCCATTTTATAACATTCCACAGTTGCATAATTTGATTTTTTCTAAGCTTCTACAGTCCGTATCAAGTAGCTTCCCAAGCAAGTATACATTATCCTACAAATTTTGTAGAAGCATCTTCTTTTTCACTAACCATTGTCTAAACTATACAATGGTAGGCTGATCTTTTAGGAAACGCAATTCCTTGCACTATCGTTATTGTTCTTTCCATAGCCTTTTATGTAGACTTCATTGCCTATAAGCACTATACTCAGTAAAGGAAGATATAAAGGGACAAATGCAGACATGTATCATTTCCTTAAAGAGCTTACAGTAATGGAACATTCCTACAAATAACTATAATGAGGAGTAGAAGCTGATAGTATCATTAAATAAAGTAAAATGGATGTCTAAGGGCTGAGATTATTTCCAGTTAGGAGCTCAGCTACAAAGAATGGCAGGCTTTGAACACAAAAGATTGGTACAGATGTGGATTCTAGGCAGAGGTTGCTTCATGAATACCAGCATAAAGGCAGGTAGCCATGAGGCAAGTATGGGGATGTGTGCATAGTAGTTAACTTAGTTGAAATGTAGGCTAAGTAAAGACAAATATTGGAGAAAAAATAGATTACCGACAGAATGTAAAGAGCCTAAGTGAAGTTTTAGAGCAGGGGAGTGCTTCAAATAGGTTAAAGTAGTAGAGAGGCTGGAGACAGATGCACCTGCTAGGATACAAAAAGTCTGATTGCCTGAAATCAGACTGTAGCAGTAGGAAAGGAGAGGAAGGGTGCTGTTTGGAGTCGAATCTGCAGCAGTGAAAAAAGTGGCATGGGAGGAGTCAAAGATAATGTAGAGGCCAAAATCTAACCAGAGGCCAAATTCCCTAAGTAGGGAAATACTGGTACTGTTAACAGAAATTGAGAATATATGACAAAGTTCAGACAGATGATTAAGGCTAAGTTTATTTTTTTTAATATTTTATTTATTGATTCATGAGAGACATAGAGAGAGAGAGAAAGGGAGGGAGGGAGAGACATAGGAAGAGGGGGCATAACTCTGCCTCTTTCTGTGTCTCTCATGAATAAATAAAGATCTTAAATAAAAACTACTGTAACAAATTCACTACATCAAGAATTTAGATTTACAGAACAGATCCTCAGAGGTACATTTATCTGGTTTTTAAAATAACTTTTATAAAGGAATCTTCAAAATATTCTCTCCCGTAGTATGAATATATTTATACTTCATTTTTATTAATTTTCTCTAGAGGAGATTTAATTTTCTCTACAGAGGTAAGGATATGCCTTTTTTAAAAAAAAAAAAAAAGATTTTATTTATTTATTCATGAGAGACAGAGAAAGAGAGAGACAGAGACAGAGACACAGGCAGAGGGAGAAGCAGGCTCCATGCAGGGAGCCAGATGTGGGACTCGATCCCTGGACTCCAGGATCATGCCCCCAGGCCAAAGGCAGGCACTAAACCACCGAGCCACTGAGGGATCCCCAGGATATGCCTTTAATATCTCAGCAAGATTCTAAGTATATTATTTATGAAATTTTTCTAGGAAACTCACTTTTATTCATGACTTATCAGTCCAAAAGTGATCACTTTGGAGCATAGGCCATGAATTCTTTTTATTATCTTAACAAGTTTTCCTTGAAATGATATATTGTCTTTGAGTCTGATGATGTATATAAATATAGACATATCACATGTACTTGTAAATATTAGTCTCAAATTCAAAATCCCTAATTTAAAATAGTATCATACAATCTTACAGTTATTGGAAACAGTTTAAGTAGCATTTGTTTAAATTCATTCTGGCCTGTTATATGTGAGATATATGTAGTCAAATGCTAAACCACTTTTTTCCAATGTACAGATGAAAGGAATAAAATTTATCCTCCAAATTCTGATTCTAAGTTCATTTGCAGATTGTTGTTACGTTGCATGGTAGAAAAACATATTTGAATTCTTACTATCAGTGAAAATCAAAAATAAAAATCATATGCAGTTCTATTTAAAAGACATATTTTGATCTAATTTATGGACAACTTTAGTAACTTTTTTTTAATTTAAATTCTTAATTGTTGCATTGATCAGTGAAAATTCCGCAAGAGTACTACTCTTAGACTACATAGGGTTAGATGTCATTTATCTATAATAGTTTCTCCCAAATGTACCTTGAAACACTACATTATACTGTTGAAAAGGTTCAGAAAACATTGCAAATCTGATTACTCTCTTGGAGAAGGGCACTGTACAAACTGCTGAAAGTTCAGCAGTTAAAAAAATTTTTTAGCTTTATTCAATCCATCATTTCTCAAGTTTACCTATCAATATCTTGGTATAATTAGTGTCACTGGAAATAGGACTGGAAAACCTTGAATTATGATGATAGGAAGGAGGGAATTAAAACAAGTATATGGTACCAAAATAATTGGTACTGGATTCTGGAATAGATGTAGTTTTATCAGATTTTCTTCTAGAAAAAAAAATATTTTCTTCTAGAATGCTGTTTTTTAAAAAGAATACTTTAAAGAGATAATTGTCTCTAGGCAAGGCCACTAGACTAAAAGCCAATAGCATGCTGGGTACCAAGAAAAAGACATGGGATACTCAGGATTTACACAAAGTACATTAGACACTGGTGTAAAATGAGAACTGGCCATGCATATTTAATCCTTCTCTAGGATCACCTCTAAAGCATAAAGAAAGACAGTAAGAAAAGAACTAGTTCATTTATTAAAATGCTGACATGCAGGTACTTACACTGCCCATTCAAGCTTCTCATTCTTAATAGAGTTGTACAAAGCCTGTAAAAAGAGAAAATAAGATGGAATATTCTTTCAGTTCTATTCAATATTTTTAATTCAGCAAATGACCAAAGCCAAAAGGTTTGAATGGAGTCAGCAAGCAACTCCCAAGCCCCTTGTTGGTCACTCTGTCGGCTCTGAAAGATCAGGAATACACAGGTGAAACAAATGAGCATAGGGTGAAAAAGCAGCATTTAGTAAAATAGATTTTGCACCAAGTAAAAAATGACTTTTATAAATAAGACACACAACACTGTATTGCATTGTACCATAGTAAAATATTAGGATATGATGAAAATTAGACTGTGTACTCCATTTTTTAATTCAAAATACGGTCTTATAGTTTCATGAGTTTGGATACTCAAGTGTGAATATCTTTTTCATTGATATAATAAATATAACTGTTTTCATAACAATTTAATGAGCAAGATACATGTGAGGGGGGCTGAAGCTAGATTATGGAGAATGATCGTGGAATAATTTTAGAGTTTTATACTAATGACTCATGCAGTTTTTATCAGTCTAACTTCATAATTTTGCTTATAGCTAATGAGTGTTACCCTGGTGTGCATGAGGTGGTCAAGGGGAAAGACAGAAAACTTCCTTAGAGCCTTGGCAACACTAATGACAAAGTCAACCTGATTGCCTCTGATTCTCCCAGATACGATAAGATCCTTGAAATCAATTGTTCCACTATGAAAATCATCCAAGAAAATGCTATTCCACATCTCTACTTTCTTAATTTTGAGTAAGTTATACATAAAAGAAAACACAAATGTATCTCTAAGCTATAAAACCACTGCAACAAATTGTATCAAAGAAAAGAATACTGCCTCATAACATTATAATGATGTTGGAATGTTTTTCTTCAAAAAGGACTTGGACCTATATGACTCGCCAAAGATTCAGCACAAAGACATTTAGGTTATAGACTTTATATTACTTAAGATTTAATCCATGTATCTTTAGCCAGTATTTTCATAGATTCTGTGGGAATTTTGTAGGTGGCTATAACAGTCAGTTTAAATACTAGATAATTACCAAGCTAATAAAAATTAGGAGGCATTTCATCACTATCAGGACATGGTAGAATGCATCCTCACATGTAAAAACTGATAGAACATCAAATTAAAATAAGGGGTAAATTGAAGGACAAAGATTGGATATTCTTTTTGAAGAACTAAACTTCCTGAAGAACTATAGCAACCCACTGTTTAAATGTCTCAAGAGGCTGCACTTATTTAGAAGTGCAGAGAGAGTAGAAGTCTAACTCAAGCCTGGAGACTCCTGCTGGCAAATCCTTTCTGAATGTGTTTCATTACTTGTGTGAGTATTTTGAACCCCCAAGCAAGAGTGAGCTGAGAAAATGCATTGAAAAGAGACAGATGTTGGCAAATTGAACACCAATAAAAAATAAATTTATTAAAAAAGAGAGAGAGAGAGAGAGAGAGAGAGAGAGACAGATCAGGGGCAGCCCCGTTGGCTCAGCAGTTTAACGCCGCCTTCAGCCCCAGGCCTGATCCTGGAGACCTGGGATTGAGTCCCACATCGGGCTCCCTGCATGGAGCCTGCTTCTTGTAGTAAAGATTAAAAAAAAAATCTATTCTTAAAGGCAGATACTGGAAAATGATATCTAAGCATCTAAAAATTTTCAATACATTTAATTCTGTCCTAGAACAAGTTTTTTCAAATATTTTGCCCTTGAGAATATTCTCCTTAATGAGGTACTGAGTTCCAAAATAGAAAATCCTATTCAGCTGTACATCATGCAAAAAGAAATCTTTTATAAAATATCCTATAAAATTCAGCAAACTTGCCATATTGTAGTCCCCTCCCAGTGTATATATTATAACATGACAAATCTAAGAAGTGGATGTTCTCCTTATCCTTTTCAATTGCAAAATTACAAAGGGATTTTCTTGAATTTTTCTGGTACTTTATAATGACACTATTTTCCTTAAAAAAAAAAAAAAGGAAACGATGTTTTGCAAATGCATCTAACACTACATATCCTTCATCACAACTTCCCCTTTTTTTATCTACTTAGCTTAGTTAAGAATTGAATTCCCTTGATTCCCCTTATCTTAAGCACCAGTCATCCTTTCCATCCTTGTGCAGCTTAGACCCCACGGTCTCCCACATCAACCAGTCTTGTTATTATTAATATCCTCAATTTCTTTGTCCCCCCTGCCTCTTTGCTGTACCCAAAAAGAAACACTGAAACTCTTGAGCAATCCTACTCTGACTTCTCCACAATTATATCCCCTACATTAGTTTAGTTTCAGACATTAACCTAGAGCTACCTTGAGCATGAGGGTGAACTCTTGGTTTCTATAGCCAAATCAAAAAAGACATGGATGAACCTGGCCTCAAGGACACAGGCATTCAAAACTCTGCTCCTCTCTTCTCAACAATTCTCCTCTTTTCACCCCAAACATCTCCATTCCTTGTTTCCTTACTACACAAGCAACTTGTCTACAATAAGCAACACTCATTTACTTCTTTTATAATAAGAGAAAACAGTTCTTTCTCCTAACTCCAACTTGAAAAGATTCTAATTGGTGTGGTTTAGATCACCTATCCTCCCCACAGACTAATCCATGTGGCTGGAAGATGAGGTATAATAATTAGACCCATCCCTGAAGTCAAGGAGGTTGGCTACGCAGCGCTGACCTAGCCCCTAGAGTAATCCTCCTGAGCTTCACAGCCGACCCTAATTCAGCCCTAATAATGAAAATTAAACAAGAGCACAAATTAATGCCATTGAATATTCATCATCTCAAACTTCAGGAGACACTTCATTCATAAGCCTCTAACTTTTTGCCATCTTCCCTAAAATACATTTTTTCTGTCTTTCTGATGGTAAGGAAAGGGACATCCCACATCTAAAAAAGGCTGTCTGTGGTAACACGTCTCTTCCTTTATTAGCTCTTTTCTATCAGCTCTCAGACATGTGCAAGTTTCTCTGAACCCTACTTCTGCAACTTAGTTATCACCCTTTGTTCCTCAGTCCCTATTGTAGCCAAATTTCTGGGAGAAGTTTCTGCAATTCATATCTGTACTTAATTGTCTTCTCTTCAACTCAAGCAACTTGCTTTCATTCCTGCTCCTCCATTAAAAACTGATCACAATAAATGTGTCAGCTTCATTATAAATTCAAGGCCACTTTTCAGTGTTCCTGTATCACTTTGCCTATCAGCAGCATTGAATATTCTTAATATTTTCTTCCTTATTTTCTGTGACACAATACAGTTATTTTCTCCTCTTTGGATAATCCCCATTACTCATATCTTCCTCATCTTATCACTTAAATGTGGATGAGCCTAAGGGTTTATCTTCAGCCCATGTGACCTCTTGTGAACTTTAGATCCATATGTCAGATGCACTGAGATGTCTCCAAAGCACACAACTCAGAAAAGAGGAACTATGGCATGAATACCTAAAAGCGAAAATGTACTCTCAGTCTTAGTGAACTCTATTAGTATACAGTACTTAAGTTTTTGATGGAGACGCTATACATAAAGCCTAAGTAAAGGTAGGTTATAGTAATATGAAATATATCCAAGATGATCCTAGAACTGCCAGAATTTTTCTATCAACTGTTTCATCCATTACTATTATATTTCTATCATACAAGCAAGAAAGTTCCAAGTTAAAAATCATATTTGTATCCGCCTACTAATGGCAAAGGGACAAGCCTTTTACTAATAATGTCGGGATGAACTGCGAAACTCTCTAATTTCTACTCAAGAAACTGTTGGGCTGGCAGGATCAAGGGGGATCAGGAGGGACCAAAGAAATGGAGGCCAACCCTCCACCTTGCTGCCCCCACCTCAGAACTTTCCCATCACAGCAGACCACCCAACAATACATCATCAGGGGGAGACTGGACCTATGCAGGAAACCTGAACCGTACTTTACCCAGATCCCATATAAGGGCATAAGCAGTTATCACTTCATGCTGATTTACCAGTAATATGCCTTATCCTATCATCCAGTACAGACACACAACACCTCCCCCCTCCCCCCCTTAAAAAGCCTGCTTGCACTCCCCTGGGCGCAACTTCCCCAGCCTCGACTTCCCCCCTCTTTCCCTCCCCTGCTGGCTGTGGAACCTCACCCTAGAGCACATCCCATTAAAAGCCTGTTTCAAACCAACTTTCTTTTTCTTTTCTTTCTTTTCTTTTCTTTTTTCTTTTCTTTTCTTTTTTTTCTTTTCTTTTCTTTCTTTCTTTTCTTTTTTTCTTTCTCTTTATCTTCTTTCTTCTTTCTTTTCTTTCTTTCTTTCTTTCTTTCTTTCTTTCTTTCTTTCTTCCTTTCTTTCTTTCTTTTTCTTTCCTCCCTTCCCCTTCCTTCCTTCCTTCCTTCCTTCCTTCCTTCCTTCCTTCCTTCCTTCCTTCCTTCCTTCCTTCCCTCCCTCCCTCCCTCCCCTCCCCTTCCTTTTCTTTCTTTTTCTTTATTGGAGTTCAATTTGCCAACATATAGCATAACACCCAGTGCTCATCCTGTCAAGTGCCCACCTTAGTGCCTGTCACCCAGTCACCCCAACCCCCTGCTCACCTCCCCCTTCCACTACCCCTTGTTCATTTCCCAGAGTTAGGAGTCTCACATGTTCTGTCACCCTCTTGGATATTTCCCACTCATTTTCTCTCCTTTCCCCTTTATCCCCTTTCACTATTTTTTATATTCCCCAAATGAATGAGACCATATAATGTTAGTCCTTCTCCAACTGACTTACTTCACTCAGCATAATGCCCTCTAGTTCCATCCATGTTGAAGCAAATGGTGGGTATTTGTCGCTTCTAATGGCTGAGTAATATTCTATTGTATAATAGAATAATGTGTATATACCACATTTTCTTTATCCATTCATCTTTTGATGGACACTGAGGCTCCTTCCACAGTTTGGCTACTGTAGACATTGCAGCTATAAACATTGGGGTGCAGGTGTTCTGTTGTTTCACTGCATCTGTATCTTTGGGGTAAATCCCCAGCAGTGC